CCAAAAATGCTCTGCATTTTTGCCCACGCCACTAATCCACTTTTGCTCTGCATTTCCCTATTCCGAAATATGGTCTACCTGTCACGGCTCATATGAGAATAGGCATTTGGTGAAGCTTTATAGCTCCAGATTAGTTGCTCATATCCGTCGTTCTGGAATGTCTCCCTAAGCCAACCTCTCTTTGCGTCTTGGCGCTTTTTGTCCCCTATCTATTGCTGTCCCCTGCCCCTTTGTGTTTGTTTCTTGCCTCTGTTTGCTCTGTCTTTGCTGTCTCTTGTTTCTTTTTCTGCTGCTATTTTTCGTCACCTGCCTACGTGTGCTTCCTTCCTCTGTTTGTCTCTTATCTTTCGTCCCGCGTCTCCTTTTGTATCTCATGATGTTTTATCTTCTCTACTCTTTCGTTGCGTCGTCCGTCTCCCCCGTCTTCCTGTTCCCTTCCGTCTCCCGTGTCTTCGCATCTCGAGTCTTAGTTTGCCCCTTGCTTCATTTCTTCCTACCTTCGGCTCCACCTTCCCTTCTCCAGTTTTTGTCTCCTCTTACTGCTTGTCTCCCTGTGTCCTGATTCTTTTTTTTCCTGTCCATTTCTGTTTCCTGTAACCGATCACATAGCGCCATTCTGGCAGTTGGCTACGATCTGCTCTCGGGGGCGAGGCAAGCGAGGCTCTTCCCAAGCTGCCGTCGGTTCCAGCTTCAATCCCAGGGTTTAACAGTACTCCTGGAAGTTTCTCCCCCGCCTTGGTCAAGTTGAGATTTGGCTGACGAACGAAAGTCAAATTTGCCACCGGCAATACCACAGCCAAGCGTTTGCTGCAATGCAGCAGCATTTTTCCCGGGCAACAGTAGCATCTCCGCTTTGCTATTTATCACTTCAGTCTGTTCACCGTGAAGGCAAAGTACGAGCGTTGAATCGCAACGAAGCTACCTAGAGTCCTTCAGCATCATGTTGAGCTGCTGAGTGCTTTCAGCGTTTTTACCGCTTTGAAAGCAATAAAGACGTATTTTTGGATTCAAGTTTGTGTGCAGAGTGAATTCACACTTCGCAGCCACAGGCACCAACGCATTTTTTCATTCCGAAAGAAAGGCACACTAAAGTTATTTCTCCGCATCCTGTGGAGTGATTTGGGATCACTAGAAGATAAGGAAAAACCGTAGTGATGATATAGGGGTGCCTGCGGCCCTCGCACGCTCAACCCGATGATTCAATGCCATCTAGAAGGGTGGGCCCCACAAGCCGGCATGATCTACTACTTGTTGAGCAAAGTATTTTCCCAGGTATTTCATACCATGCACAGCATGCTGTCTACCATTCGTGAAACAGAAGCATCTCATTAAACTACGATTTGCGGTAGATGCACGGTTGCAATGCTCAAAGGACTTTGTTTGCTTCTCTTCTCCAGGGCCTTATTCAGGCGGATATTTGATAATTAAGATCCATTTGGCTTTAGAATCCAATATGTCTAGTATAAATTTCGCTAAGTCATGTTTCTTCATCGATTTCGCATTGTTTGAAAATGCTGTCCTGGTTTGGCTAGACGTCCAGCTGGTTTCACGGCAAATTCCAGCTCGATTTTTTTTGTAAAAAAACATTTCAAATTTGCAATCCAGTACATTGAAAAGGCATAAATGCTGCGGTAACCTACGCTAAATCGGCGCCATTGAGTTCACCTGTCTTTTGCGAAGTTAAACTGCAGTGGGCACGTAAACTTTGCCTATTTCCAAATAAGCAATTACACAGTTCCTCATGTGAAGCAAGTGGTTATGTATAGCTCAGGATATGAGAATTGAAATTGCGTTAGAGGCTGTTTGAAGCGTAGCTCTTTGTAGGCAGTGAAGGCTTAGTGTGTTGAGTGGTTCAGTGGGAGCCAATATATTGGAAGACAATCTTGCGTGGTGAATCAGGCAACTAGAATATAATTAAAAACGTTTGACTGCTATATTTAAATAATGTCAACTCTTCGGCAGAGTCCTTCTCAGTCACACCGTAGAACAGAAGCGCCACGGCCTGCCGTGCCTGCAAACGGTCTTGCCAACTGGCTATCCTTTGAAACTTCAACTGCTCGAATCACTAGAAGCTGCTAAATGTTTGTGAGCTCTTACATACTTCAACGGTTTGGCCTTTACAGCTGAATGGGAGCGCAGCTTACCTGGAGCAAGCCCTACAGCGTGCCCAGTCCAGTCCGACGTTAACAGTCTGAATATACGTTGTTTCATTCTAAGGAGTTCAATGCACCTATCTTCAGGAACAGTCACACTTCCTTTAACATATTTTGAAAACATTCTAATAGAAGTTCACACCTTTGATGGGTGAGCTGGAGTGTATGCCACATGGGCTGCAGCATGGTCCAGCGACTCCTGCTGGTCTCCCGTGGCATGAGCGCCTTGGAAGACGAAATCAGGTAGCGCAAAGCAATTAGGCAAAACATAGACCGTTTTAACAAGTAATGAAATAGTAGTGGTTGGTGCGTACGCATATTCGTGACCCAATGAGAGTTGGGATTGCTACCTTGATGAGGGGCGTCTCGAGCGCACACAACTACTAACAACTTGTTTACGTTTTTCTGCGCTGTTCTCTACCTCCATTTCTTCTCTTCGTGTCAGTGGCTTTTTCTAAGAGTTATTTGAGCCTCAGGCTTTTTCAGTTTTTCCAACATGTCTCGTCTTGGCTTGTTGGCGTGCTGTGGGGGACTGCTCGCTCTCACGGCCTTAGGGGACAGTTCACAGGCAGTCACCAGTCAATATGCGGTCGTTAACCCTCACAACAGCAGCCTGATTGCACGATCACTATTTGGTCAAGCAACCGGAGCTCCAAAAGCACAGGACAAAACTGACGGTGAATCGCAAACAGTGGAACAATGCTAGTGTAGATTCAGCTGCAATTTGATTTGTGGCCGCGTGCGGAGATTCGGGCATGTGTGGCAAGCTATGTCTATTTCGAACTCCGGTATGACCCATCATCAGTGTTGGGTGTCTTGCATCGATCCTATATATGGGATTTGTCGGCACAACTGCGAGTTAAATCCATATATAATAGTGTGTGAAGAGATCCAACAAATATAACCAAGACTATCACTGCCTTTGCCATCCATGTGCCTTGCCATACATCTGCAGAGTGTTTGCCTGTTGTGAACGCCTTGCGAACGGAAGGCCTTAATTACTTTCTCCCAACTGTCATCAAGGCCGGAAACGCCGAAGTATTTGAAAGTTTGGGTGAAAAAACTATTGAGGAACTGCTGAATGGAGAGGATGCCTCCCAATATTCAACTTCTGGTGGCGAAGGTAAAGAAGATGTTAATGTTACCTTGGCAATTGCAGCGAAGCTCGCCGGGGCAAGTGCACAGACCTGTGATTTGGGAGAAGCAGCCAACGCAAAAAAGGTTTGGCTTATGATATAGGCACAAATAGATGCGAAACCCCCGAGCAAGAGTCGCTTTTACTTAGCTGCCTCAGCTTCCTATCTTCTGAGAAACTGGCGACGTTTCCATATAGGGGTATTTTTCTCGCTCATGTTTTCATGGTACGTGATGCGCTTTTCCTGTAATGACTTGCAGTATCGTGGAGTCGTTGTTCCATTCGCAGCATCTAGTAGCTTCGACTGCGGAACTCTGATCGAAGCGTCTTTTACTGCTGGACTACGCCATCTGCAAATGTCTGTCTACTTGTGTTTCGTTTTCCGTGCCCAGCACAAAATGGTCTTTAATAAGTGGAAGTCATACCGAAGTTTTTTGTCTTCTATCTAAGGATGTTGCAGCGATGTGTTGACTCTGCTGCATCGTCTTGTTTATTATTGTCTATTTAATGGGCAGAAATCATAGTTCAGTTTTGTTATGTTGTTTCTGTAAGGATGTTGGAATGATGTGTTGACCGTACGTGTAGTTGTTGTTCAGCCCTGTATTTGCCGTACAGTGGTCCCTTTGGTGTGTCTCCCAGCCCCCTTTCCATGCTTTCGATAGCCTCTTCAGTCGGCTACTTCGCTGTGGCGCTATTGCCTTCTTCGCACAGGGAGAAATTTATTGCGGCAAAAGGAACGTACAACGTGACAAAGGCCCCGTTTAACAATGTCGCAGCCAGTAA